TCTCGAGTCGGTGCAAAAAGGTGACTTTATTTTATAATTCATTTTATTATTATTATGTAAGAGTGCGGTGCGGTGCGCAAAGCAATTACAAGGGAGTGAGTGATTAGGGGAGTCTGTGGGGATCATAAAAATATTCCCTCCTTTATTCTCCACATTTCTTTTATTTCGGGACGCTGAGTTTTTCTTTTCATACAAATACAAACATAAAATGCGCATAAAAATGCGCGGGCGGAGAAAGCGCATGAAATAATCAACAGTAACAATGGCGGGGAAAAGTGAAAAAGTGTGGATGGCGTTGCTGCCACACGAGTTGACAACATCCGAGTGTATGTGCACTGGAAATAAAGGGTTCTTTTGGACACAATAATTGGAAGAACCTTTTTTGCAGGCTTTTTTCGCAGCTTTTGGTAACATATATATTTTCTATTATACATATGTTTGCTTAAGACATTGTAAAAATAAATAAATAAGTTATATAAAGTAGGTCCTTAGAAGACGTATTCAACGTCAAAAATTGCAGGTCAAGATCTACAAAATTCTTAAATGGTTTTTTTAGAAGACAACTAATTCCAAACTAAAAACTTTCCATAACCTCCAAGTTTTGAATGAATAATAAAAAGGTTATTTTCTTTGGAATTAGTTATGTTTTTTTTATATATACAAAGTGTTATCAGCATTTTTTGCCGTGTGTGTGTGTGAGTGACATCTCAACCAGCTTGGCCGATGACTGGGATATCCTAATGGTCTTTTGCCTCCTGTAACTGACTGATGTTTGGCACACACACTTCCACACACTCACACTCGCCCAGCGACGCCATAATTAATGATGAAAAATTGCTACCCACACACACACACACATCCGCATATACACTTGGACACTCAACATATGCAACAGAAGTACAAAAACGTGGTGGGGTGAGAAAATATAAAGCCATTTGGTTTTGTACGCTGGAAATTAACATGAAAAGGGCAAAGCGCAGCTGCCATTCGCGTTTGGCCGAATATGTGAGATCGGTCCAAAATGCCTCTGAAAATCCCACTCCAGAGTGGTCAACGCCAGATGGTCGCCGGGAAACAAGAAAAAAGGCCCGGAAAAAACCCCACCAAAACACATAAAGTGGCCCACTAAAGCTGCGAGCTTGGCAAAGTGATTAAATTGAGTTAATTATGTCCACCGGGAGAGTGTGTTAGAGCAAGACAAATACCAGTTTGAAGTTGTACATAAATTATTACAAGGATATTAAATGCGGCGCTCAAAACAGGGAGGATTATCCAAGTATTAAGTGCATATTATCAAAGGCCGTTAAATGCCAGAAATAAAACATTTGGCCTGTGTGAAATTGCTTTAATCAACCCTTAATCTTCATTACAAAAAACCACTTTGTCTTTGTTAAATCTTTCCAAAGTTGTTTCTGTTTTCGGTTTCGTTTTCATTTTTATTTGTTACCCTAAAATATTTCTCATTTAAAAAGCATTTGGCAAACGGGGCGTGAGTTGCCATTTCGATTGAGTTATGTCGCGAAAATTTGCCTTACGAAATCGAACTTCTATCAAAGTTTATCAAAGCCAAAACATTTAATGGTTGTGCGAAATGTTTCCACCATTTTTTTTTGCTTATCACTTTGGACCAGCAAGCTTTTTATTCGCATACTTTTTTTTACGAGTAGTATGGTGGGCCGGCTCTTATCTAAAAACCCGTTAAATTTATTATGCAACATTGCGCGCGGGTGGAAAATGCGATTTCTCATTCGATACAGATTCAGGTAAACATTCGCCGTGTGTGTCCGGCAAATAAATAAAAGCGAAAATTTTCTGCTGGCGCGTGTAGCGCGAAATAAAAACCGAAAAAAACATTAACAAGCGGCGGCGAAAAAAAAATGTAACTTAATTGCCAAACACACATATACGCACACAAAAGGGTGTTGTACTGTGTTGTTGCTGTGGTTGTGTTTTCCGCGGGCGTTTTTTCCGGGGGAAGGGGGTCGGAAAATGGGGCGGACCTTTCTGCTCTTGGCGTGCGTGCGCCGTGCGATATAATTTATGTTTCAATAACTTTCGAAACTCATTGAAAAGTCGCTTATGTTTGCTTCAATGGCAGCAGCAGCAGCAGCAACAACGCGCCCAAGAAGAATGCTAAAAGTACAACAATAAATTGTTTGGATTTACTTATGCGAAGGGGGAGGTGGGTGGGTGTCGAGCTTTCCTTAGCCGACACTGCCGTTTCCCATTTTACTCAATTTTTTATTGTTGCTGCACTTGAGCGACCCCGCTTTGTCTTTTCACCCGCAAGAAAATTCCCGCTCAACTTGCAAAAGTTTTTCGCTATTTTCCCTCTCATTCTGTTTCTGTGAATGTGTTTTGTTTGCCATTTGCTTTCATTTTGTTTTCCCCGGCAATGGCCTTTTTTTTGGATTTTTTCTCCTTCTGCCACTGTTGTTCATTTTGTGCTCTTAAAATTTATTTGCAAGTTTTCTAATTTGTACTTCACTCCATTTTATTGTAATATACAATCTCATTTGAAGTGAGATATCTCAGGGCATCTATCTAACGCAGAAAGCACAAGGACAAAAGGAAAAGGGATAATACAGAGAACGAAATTATTTTGATTCAATAAACCCTTTACAAAAGGACATGAGCTGCTAAATTTCAAAAAATATAAAAAGACAATTTTAGGTCGATAAGCAATACAAAATACATATTTTAAAAAGTTTTTTCATTACTTTATACTAACTTTAAAGCTTCTGCAAATGTCTTTAAATTATGTCTTCTCTTAATTTCATTATTTTACATAATAAGCCCGATTTATGTTTGGTTGCCTATCAATAAACTGATTTTTGAACATTTAGTTCTAATGCTCTATATCGAAATGAAATTTGTTAATTAAAATCCTTGTGTAACTATAATTGTGAATATTCAACCGGTTACATTATTTTCGCGTCCTGTAACGAGTTAGCGGAGGTGGCCTATAAGTATGCAATGCCTGCTGGTGGCTGATCCTAGCGGTGTATCCTTGTTTCCTGTTTCGGGACTGGGGCGCATATTTATTAACCACACTGTTGATTCTCGCTGCGGCAACTTTGCGTGCAGCTTGTTGCTTCTCTCTTCCCCCTTTTCATCCTCTTTAGCCTGCCCTGTCTTCCGGTTTTGAATTTTGTTGTCGCACCTTCTCAGGAATTCTGTTTACATTTATTACTTTGCGCAAGTTTAAGTGAAAAATTTCCATAAACATTCTTTTAAGCGACATAAAGTTTTTATTAAATTTTGCTAGAAATCCCTGACACGATGATATCAGGCAACAACGGCAACGGCAACAGCAACGGCAACAAATAGAGCTGCGGAATTTACAACTACCAGAGGGTAGAACACCTGCCACCCCGAGCTGCCGCCTTTCAAGATACTTTTCCGAGGGTTCGGGTTCGGTGGCGGTTGTACGGTGTGTTGGGGCGAAGGCGAAGTGCCAACTGTTTTACTGTTGGCAGTACGAGATACTGCTCCAGCTTCAGCTGCACGCAGTTCATAAAAATTTTGCCAGCCAACATGACATGCACAAAGGCGAAAGGACACACGGCTCCTGATCCTGCGAGTGGAGATGGGAGTGGGCGGGAGTCGAGAGCAAGGGTCGAAAGAGAAATGCAGGAAGGTGGCATAAACTTTCGTCGCTTGTTAACCTGAAAGCTTCGCCGCCACTCCACTGACATTAGATGAAATTCAATTAAAACCAAGATATATTTCGTTGGACAAATTCCAGCAGGAGTTGTTTAAACCGGGTGAAAAGAATTCCTAAAAAAAAGTGACATTCGCGCATTGTGTATACGCCCCATAAAACACTTAATTAGAGAGAAAAGAAAACGGCACATAAACACTTTCTATTTGGTCGCTCTTTAACTTAATATGTAGACAATTTAAGTGAGTTCTTTTAAATACAAGTCAACTGGTTAATTTTTAATTTAATTTTGATAAAGAAACCAAATTCTGAAAAATATTGTATCGTAATAAATATCGAAATTGGATAATTGAGTTGAATAAGTCAGCTGAATGCATAAACTTCCGGGTTGAACAGTTTTAAATTCTATTTGGTGTATATTGAAATTGACTCGTTTAAATTCGATCTCATTATTCATACTGTCCGCAAAAAACAGCTAATTTACGTTAAGCATTTTTAAATAAGGTCAAAGTGCAGGGTTGGCTGTTTGAGTTCTGGATGTGGGGGCTCTGGGGGTATCGGCCACGTTCAGCCAACTGAAAGTTGATCAAAACCGCAACAAATGACAAACGTTACGGGGAAAATACACAACACAGAAATACACACACACATGTCCAGCGGAAAAGGGGAAAAACGGAGTAATAGGTAGAGGAGTAACGCAGAGGAAAAAAAATAAAATCAATGAAAATGAAAACCAATTAGCGGTTAACCAAACTGTTCAAATTTGGAAATGGATGCAGCCGTGCATGGCCATAAACAACAACGGCAGCAAAGATGGCCCAAACGGAGGTAGACGGCAGATGAGTGATAGAGAGGTCAATAGCAGCCAGGCTGAAAGGTAAAAGGTTGCCAGGGTAACAAATTTATTACACGAAAATAGGAAATAATTAAAATCAGTTCGAACGCGGATACAATTTCGATCGGAATGAGGAAGAACTTTTTGATTGATAAACCAAAGGCTATAGTGGACATAGTTAAATAAAACTAGAAAGACACAGAAAACCAAACAGAAACATAAATATTTATATGTATAAAATAAACCGAAACAACGATTTAATAGGAATTCCGCTTTAAAATGTTATATAACATATTTATTTGATTAAGGGGAATTTTTTTATATTGCTGATATTACTAATTTCGCAAATAGTAGAAAAAGTCCTTGCCTCCGTTAAACCTTTCAATAAATAAGCTTCCCCAAAAAATTTTGTTTTTGCCCATAGACTATTAAGAAATCTTGTAAATACGCCCTGAATTCCATCTCTTTCTGCCTACAACCCCTTTTTAATGTACCACTCACCTGGATCTGCGCGTCGTGGGATCCTTCATGACCATAGCCTCTGAGATATCACCATAACGTCCAAAGTAATCGCGTAAGCTCTCTGAAAGAAAGATAAACAAATGCAGTGAATAATCAATCAAAGCAGGTTTATGAAATGTCCTGGGGTTACACGCAAGTATCGCCATCAAAATCACGACGCCAAAGTTACTAATTTTGTTACGCGCTTAATAAAAATGCAAAAAAAAAAAATAAAAGTCGGAAAACCGAATTTCGCGTGGTGCCCAAGTAAACAAACTGGTTGGGGGCCCAAAACTTCTTCTTCCTGCTGGCAGAGGGTCTCCCCAAAACACCCCGTTTCCACACCCTTTGCATACGCAACTGGACATTATTCACATGCATACTCGCATAATACACAAACAAAAATATTCACTTACATCTTTAAGACACAAAACATTTTGGTAATTTTTCGTTTGACAAAACTTCTAACTAAGCAGAGTGGTCGGAAACTCGTTTCAGAAAATTATAGTTTTTTATAGTTATTTTATTAACTTACTTAATTATTCCACAATGTTCACATATAAATAATAGCGGGTTTCTCACTGATTTAAAATCAAATTGACCTTTAAATAGAATATTCATTTAAAATACCTTATTTTTAACTCCTCAGAAATCATCTATCTTCTCTGCTTAGGTTTTAAAAATGTTTAAATTGTTTATTTCTTATGTATTAAATTTATGTTTTGTAGTATTTCTCCACCTGTAAACACACACAAAGCATACAGACCACTTCAGACTCGCTGCTTTGGTTGCCAGCGGCAGCTGTTGTCTGCGGTTTTGCGAGCTAATCTGACTCTGACTCCGGCCGGAGGACGCGGATGCGGATGCGAATGGCGGATAGCGGATGGAGGCTAAGGGCACAGGACTCTCCCCGGTTGGAAGCACTTCAGCGGCACGTACGCACACAAACGCAGCACTGAAGTTATTTCAACAAAATTGCCAGACAAAGAGGGAAAGGGGGCCACAGGACAGATACCAAGGCTCGTTGGCTGCGATTTAATGCAGCAAAAACAAGTAAAATAAAACCGATAAAGTCATCTCTGGCCCGTTGGCTGCTGGCGGAAGAACCCTAATCCAGTCGAGTGTCGACGCTGGCGTCATAAATTCAAAGTACAATAAAAATTCAATAAAACAAACGATTTTGCCGTTCGCGCCGCGTGGCCAAGACGCTCCGGCCATAAATGTGGTGCGAGAAATCGCACTAGGGAACCAGCACCACCACCGCACCACTACCGCTACCCCATTCCCTTTCCAGAAATCGCAGCACCACAAGCACACACGCACCAAAAAAACAGAGCTAGAGCAACTAGTTGCTCCTTGTGTCGATGCAAAAAGCCACACTTAAACAAAATATTTAAAGCAGTTATTCTTCAATAAAAAAAAAACCAACAAAATTAATTATTAAAGCTAAAACAGAAAAATTATACCGCTAAGAAAGATTTTAGACCAGGCTGACCCTCATCAAAGTTCACTTCTATCAAAGAAATATATTTTACACTTTTAAAGTTATTTAGACTAATCAACTTTTTTTATAAGTGCAAAGAATGTGTGAGGGCGGAAGAAAGGGTTTGAAAAGGGAGGGGTAAATGCGGTGGAAAATGGGTGGTTTGGGTGCGGATGGTTCCGAACAGACGGCAGACAGTCAAGTGGGGGCAATGCAACGCAAAACGCGAAACGCGTCGCGTGATTTACATAAGTATGCACAATAATTATGAACAATAAAAAACAATTTGTTTGCTTATGACAGTTTTGGAACCATAAATAACAACAGCAACTGGCGCAGCGGTTCGAGTGGCATGTGGATGCGGAAAATTGGAAATGGGGAATGGGGAAGCAGGGGCGAGCGTGTGTGCTTGTGTGAGTGTGCGTGTGTGGCATGCAAATTGATGGGGCAGCGAAAGGGTTGCGTTCCATTTCGTTACGTTCATTGCGTATGTGTATGTGTCGCAGCAAAGTATGCTACACTTTAAGTTTTAATGGCCAATTGCCCCGCTATGACTATGTGTGTGTATGTGTAATAGGGAAGCGGTAGGGTGACTCTATTCTATGGCATGACTTGGCCATTAGTTGAAGTTGAGGTGTAAATAAACCAGTTGGATTCACCCATGCCCCATGGCTGTGATCGAGTGGGTCACGAGAAAAGAGAATTCGCAGGTCATTTGTTACGGTCGGTCATGAAGTTATAAACCCATTTGTTAGGGTTTCGGCATTTTAAATATCAATATAATTTAAATTTACCCTACGTCAATATTGCAAAAACCCATCTGGTCATTAATAAAGACAAAAGCTCTAAAAACTAACTTTAAGTCAATGTAATTTAAAAATAATTTATTCAGGCACTCAATAAGCTGATAAATATAATAAAGTACCCAAACTGTAAGACATTTATTAGTGTTTTCAAATCCATTAATGTCCTGTCTTTAACAAAATTTTGACGTCATGATCATCGATATATTTTCAAAAATGTTTAAAGTAATTTGGTATAATATTGATATTATTGAGTTTCAGTTCTTAAAAAATTATTTCATTAAAATTTCATTAAAAGTTCTTGCCCCAACTACCACCTGTAAACTGCAATCTGGTTAAGAGTTCCGATTTATTTATGATTTACATCCCGTACTCATCTCCAAAACCAGACTTCCTTTGAAATTCCAAAATGAAGTCATCATCAACGTGTCAATCAGTGTGTGATGTCTCACTTTTGGCGCAAACAATATTTCAGACACGGAGCATACCTTTCCACCCAATTAACCCCTTTGCCATTTCTCACAGTGCACCAGCCCCCTCCAAGTTTTTTAAGCCCCCCGCCCCCTCTACTGTCGTCCAATGCGACGTTCAGTTTTGAGTGACAGCTGCAAAGTTTGTTTTGCATTTCATATTTGCGAGCTCGTCTACAGTCCCCGCAAATCCCCCTTTTACCCCACTTTTTGGAGGGCTCAGTGCCAACTGTCACTTGACCGGGCAAAGCCCGCCCCTGCCACGCCCCCGACCCAAAGCCAACATGGCCAATAGAAAAGCTGGCAAACAAAATAAATGTGTAAATGTGAAGAAGCAAAAAACAGGCAGCGGAAAAAAAAGGAAATGGTCAACAAATTAAAACGCGGCAAAATAAAAATAAAATTAAAATTTATTTGCTACCCAGCGGCTGGGAAAAAATAAAAATAAAATAAAATACACATAACAAAAACGGAGGGACGATGGAAGGAAGGACAAAAGGAGCAGCGACAAGAGCGAAATATATTGTAACGGGCCAAAAGCCAAACTTGGATTTAATTAAAATGTTTACCACAGTCATTTCATTTTCATAGCCAGCAAACATAAATTTTGAAGAGGAAAGCGTGTGCGAGTGAGAGGGCCAGGACCGCAGAGCGAAACAGCTGCAAGAAAATGCCAAAAACATTAAAGTTACCGCACCATACTAACGGAAAAGTGGAAATTTTGATTGTTGCATTTTTGGTTTGGTTAGGGGCCAAGAACAATAAGCGATAAACAAAATAGGTTCAATCTGGAGAAGAAAATGGATTTGCAGGTAATTAGTTCAAGCTGGCACACAAACAAAACACACACACACCTACACACACACACACACACACACACACACCGAATCCAAGAGCAAATTTATCCCGAATCCATTTAGTGGGATTATTTATAAGAAAACTCAGACTTCCACCCAAGGCAATCCGTTTTGCGGTTGCAGGCATATTAACCCCTTAACGTCCTGGCAGGCCTTAACCCCTCCGCGCCCCACCACCCCTCCGAAGGTCCCCAATAGGCCACCGCACATGTTGTCAAAAGCACAATGCTGAAACCATAAATTTATGTGCTTTCTATTGTTTTTGCCAAAGAAAGCGGAAGTTGTGTGCTCTCTGCGGTGGGCTGACGGAGTGCTGGAGGGGCAGGTCGGGCTGGAAAATGTGGAAAAACTACACAGCAGCAAAACACAGCTTCAAAAATCAGAATGAGTGAAAAAGGTGTGCGCAAAGGGATTTCAATCAATTGTGAGGCGAACTGAGGCAACTGGCAGCCAGAGCAGCAAAAACTAAAGCTCAGCCTCTGTTCCGTTTGGTTTAGCTCTGCCCTGACCTACACTGAGAGAAAATTATGAAGAAATATAAAATATGTTTGTAGACTAGACCAACAATATTTTATGTATTCAACAGATGAAAACCGCACCAATTTATTGGCCACTTTTCTTATTATTTGAATTGAAAGCTTGTTTCATTTTCCGTGATTTTTGGTTTTAGCTGAAGCAAAGTAACTTGAACCCCAAAGTTATAAACTATTTCTTAATTTCAAAATAAATCAGGACTTGAAAACAGCAGTTTTGCCTCAGCGTATCGTTTTGTTGGAAAACGCAAATTGCTATTTTGTCTGAACAGCAAACGAGATGGCAATTCACTGGAAGAAAGAGATACACAGAACGGGGCAGAAAGAGACCGGGCTAAAGACAAAGAGGGAGATGGGTAGTTGGACCAGTAGAGCCTGTTGTAACACATCCCGGTCGTAGCATCATTTTTCATGCGCTCCAACAACTTTTGACAAAGGTCGGTCAAGCAAGTCTTAAAAACTTTGCGACAAGACAACGCACGTTCCGTTCTAGGCCCAGATCCCCCTTGACCCCCGGGAATCTCCGCAGTGCGAGGCCTGCCTTTCGCTTAGTGAATTACGCCGGCTTTAAGGGGTTAAGGTTCAGCCCCCGAGGGCCACGGGTAACAGTTGTCGCTGTTTGCTCTCCGCCCTAAGCCGTAAATAATAATATTTGGACAAGTTGCCAGGGCGACAAAACGAACGGGCGATGCTCTTAGAAATTTAAAAACAAACTTCAGATAAAAACATAATATCATGACCGGCTTTTGAAAGCCATAAATCTCTAATCTCATACACTATAGACAAAGTAAATGTTTTAAAGAACTATTAAATTAAGAAAGCAATTTTCTACGATACTTTCAGACCTTTATTTTCGATTAAAGCCTCTTTAAACCATAATTTAAAAAAATTATTACCTTCCCATTTTTAAAACCCCTCCTTGCAGATATGGTCAGA